ACAGTAAAATGAGGCAAGAAATTGGCTTTTATTGGGTTAGGTTAGGTTCAGAAAGATGGACAAAATATATTTCATGATTTATTTCATGATTTTCCCAGACTTTTATGAAATGTTTGTAACAACTTGTGTTGTATATGAAGGTTCAGACTGACGTACCGACTGATCCTGCGCGAGAAGGAGTTGCACTTCAACATCGGCGTGTACAATCCCAGCAAGGAGTTGACGTTCAGCTGCCAGCTGCTGCTGCACACCTATTTCAAGGTGCCCGATGTGCGTCGCTGTCAGATCACAGGCATGCACGGCTGCATGTTCATTGATAAGGTAACATTTCATATTTTACAGATTCTCCGAATTTAATACATATTTAATTTGTGTACCTATTTTATATCAAAACCGTTATATCTCTCTGTCAATGCTTTTATGACGATATTTAAAAAAAACTCATTTCCATGCATGCGTCGAATTGAATGGCCTTATGAGATCCTTTAACCGTTAGTTTCTGAGACTAAAATCTCTGTTTTGTCAGAGATTATGATCTCTTATTGTGGTCTTAGAAATCCATGGTAAGAGATGTAAGTATATTGGTCGCATGGGTTATTGAATATCGTGCGTGGTGTGTGCAGACGCGCGAGGGCGCGGTGTACCAGGAGACGCGCGAGGTGGTGACCATCAACGAGTGGACGGACCGCATCTACCAGAACACGATGCAGGAGCACATCATCACCAACGTCGTCAGCGGTCGCAAGATGCGCATACAGAAGTACAACTTCCCCGACACAGGTCTGACCAAACACTATACTCCCCTGTCTCGCACAGACACATTTATTTTGTAAATTCAAATTACTGGAATTTAACATCACATCAAAACGATAAACTGACTAGTTAAAAATATTCATTTTGCAGTTGTAAATGCGAACTGATTCTAAATTTTAACATTTATTTTTTTAACCACAAATCACGAGTCAGAGCTCCTCTTGAGGGCATATGAAGTAGGTAGTGTTGTATTTGAACATGATAAGAATGTCGATGTACGTTGCAGTGATCTGGAACCCGTGGGCGGAGTTCGCGAAGGAGATCGGCGACTTCGGTGACGACGAGTTCCCCAACATGGTGTGTGTGGAGGCGGGCCGCGTCGCCGCACCCATCGTGCTGCTGCCCGGCACTGCCTTCGAGGCCAGCCAGATACTGCAGGTACGTCTCATACCATGCACTTTGTTTACTGTCTTATGAGGAGGAGGTAACCTGTGACTAGAGCTGACAAGGGCATGACCAGACGATAATTTAGGCTACGTCTATGATCTTATTCTAAGTAGTTTTACTAGGGGAGGTAGAGACAGCTGCCCTCCCTAACCCTCCCTATGGGCTACTCTGGTAGAAGTATACTTAGAAAGGCAATGTTCTATAAAGGAGTGACGATTGTACGAAGATAGATCTATTTGGAGGACGTTCTCGTCTCTCCGAAATTTTATAAGTGAGAAAGGGACAGAGATACGACAAGGATTACTTTTCTGTGTGAGATATCATACACATATATTACACTATGTAGTATAATTTTTATAGTAAAAAGTGACAAATGAGCAAATACAAAGGAAAAAAAGGCGAAATTTTCAGATGTGTACTTTAAGTTCCAGGAGAGATGTTACTGACAATCCTTTTGATGTATATTGCA